CCGCGAGGCCATCCACTTCCCGGAGAATCCACATGATCCGTTAACTATGGGCATTACATAAACCCCAGGTAAAATAAGGGCCCAACACCCAAGAAAAAAGGCTGTGATCATGCATACTTGTGGGCTCCAGGCAAGAGCTTTCAGTCTTTGCAGAGGAGTTTCATCTCTTCGGGTATCTATGGGGTAGTATACGGCCTTTACAGGGATTTACATCTAATAAGTTCTACAGGGCTTGACGGGGCTGTCATGCTTTGTCTGAGCGGTCTCATCGGATTATTTACAGGGATATGTCGACCCAACACACCGTAATCAAGAAAAGCCCTTCAAGTTTTACAGAGCTTCTTACTACTACTTCAGAAAAATGTATAGTGTTCTTTGCATTCGCCCGAGAAGTTTTTGTGATTTAATATGGATTGCGTGTTGGCTTGGTGTTGGGATTGATGATTTCCTTTTTCCAGTTGTATGGAACCGAAGCGTTTATAGACAGACCTGATAGCATGGAGCAGGCAACAGAAACCACGACGATCACGACAAGAAGAGCCAGAATGATTGCGATGGTGCTGCTAATGATGATAAGGATGATGGACATGGTATGAGTCTGAGATGAAGCACGAGGAGAATCTGGGGCCAGATGAGGTTATTGAGTTTATCAGATGCTCACCTGCACATTCGGTAGTAGTAGTTCATGAATGAGACGCGAAAAACATAGCAATTCCCTCCCTTTCTCCTGTTCAATCAGTTGTAAGTAGTCCAACCAGTCCAACCGTTATTCTGCAGCAGCAACACCTACTATTGAGCCTGTTGGGATGTTTTGTACCTTGTGGGAACTACTTATCCAATCAAGTCCGTTCTGCAGTGCAAACCGTGACAGAGTTGTCCCCCATGTAGATCACCGTGCAGGTGAAGTAGGGGCTTCATGAGGGATTTTGGTAAGTGTATAGAGGGCCATAAATGGCTCATGCACATATTTGTTCTTATGAGGATAATTGTCGTCAAAGGAATCAGTTAGTTCACTTCCTTCATGGAAGCTTCTGCCATCTGCTTGATGCAGTGTCCAACCCAAACCCAATCCCAAACCCAAGTCCACTACCCAGCAAAACCCAACGAAGCTTGAACCCTTAAGCCCTGAACCATCTTGAACCTGAAACCCTACCTATAGTCTCCATTGTACTTCCTTTTTTGGTTTAACCTATTTAATATTTAGGATCTGAAAAGGTAACCTCGAAAAGGAACTACAATGGAGACTATAGGTTTCCTCAACACCTGTAACCGCCAAGCTTCAGCGGAGGTCGTCCTGGCGGCAGTGCGCCAGGACAAGCGGGCGATGTCACACGCTGGCAAGGCTGGACGGGATGGCTGAACACATTAGTTAAGGGTCTAGGGTTCATGCTAAACTCACATAACCTCAAAGGCTAGTGGGACTGCACGCTTAAGGTATGAAGCCCTCAAAGAAATATCTCCCATTCCCCAAACCCTCAGCCCTGCATCCCAACTTCCCAATGCGCCCACAAATCTCGCAGAGGGACATGCGTCCTTTAGGTTTCTCTTTGCCCGTTTGCTGCAGACCACATGGAAGTCAAGCAAGTCTGTTTGAAGGCTTGTAGGTGGAAAAACCTCCTTATAGCCTTACTAGGCCCCGCTTTGTTATACCCAATCCTTTTGGAACATGCCTTTGTGCTCGAACACGCAAAGGCCCCCCTAAACTGCGAACGCCTGAACCACTTGGGTTCGGGCATATATAGCACCCAAAGGGTCCAAAGTAACTATATAGTAGAATGTAGGGTTTCTATATTAGAATTATTATTATGATTTGGGGAGATATTCCCCATAACAGTACCTAGGACCCTTAGGGGCAAGCAAGGCCATAAGGAATATACCTGAACTATAGAGGTCCTCTCACAAGCCCTACACCCTTAAAACCCTGGCCCGTAAAACCCTAAAGCCCTAAACCCTGACCCCTAACCCTAAAACCCTAAAGCCCTAAACCCTAATAGTAGAGTCTTCACCTTAACTCTTTACCTATAGTCTCCATTGTAGCTCCTTTTTGTGGTTACCTTTTAGGATCCTTAATATAAAATTGGCCAAACCAAAAAAGGAACTACAATGGAGACTACAGGTACTATACCCTAAACCCTAAAGATCCCTTATAGGAGCCCTTATACATCCCGTGAAAGTTTGTTAAGCCCAGCAATGGAGACTATAGGTCGTTTCCCAAAGACCTACTGTTGATGGTATAAATCCTGCACTACCTTTAAGGACCCTAGACTATGGGAATTACGGCATATTCCTTATTATGGGTAATGCAGGATTTATTATCCCTAAACCCTATAAACCCTATAGAGCCCTTAAAGGAACCCCTTAAAGGTACCCTTATAGATCCCTTTAAAGGTTTAAGGAAAAGGGACCCTAAGCCCTAAACCTCCTGCAAGCCTCAAGGAGCTCCGCGCAGATCTGGAGGCCTCCCAGTGGTCAACTCCCTGCTCAGGTTATAAGGGCTACTTTAAGGGATCCTCTGAGGGATCCTTTTAAAGGGATCCTATAAGGGCTACTTTAAGGGAGCCTGTTTAGGCGACTTTAGGGGTTTTGGAGGTTTAGGGGTTGAGGGGGTTTAGGGTTTTAGGGTTTAGGGCTTTAGGGGTTTAGGGTTTTAGGGGTTTAGGAGTTTAGGCGACTTTAGGGGTTTAGGAGGTTTAGGGGCTCAGGGCTCTAGGGGTATATAGAGTCACCCTAAACCCTAAACCCTAAACCCTAAATAATATAGAGGTTTTAGGCAGGAGGCGACTGAAAGCTTACGGGTTTAGTAGATGGCTCTGGGGTGTAGGGAAAAGGGGCCTGAGGGATCTGGACTTCATGATTTCGTTGTTTCAGGGTTACCTATAGTCTCCATTGTAGTTCCCTTTTTGGGTTACCTTATGGGATCCTTAATATATAATTGGGTAAAGCAAAAAAAGGAGCTACAATGGAGACTACAGGTAGTATATGGGATTCAGGTTATACGGGTTTAGGGTTTAAGGTGTTGTGCTTAGGATTTCGGGTTTAGCGGTTGGACTTTTGGATTGTTGATGTTAGTTTTAGTGATGTCTGGGCTCGGCTTTAACTGTTTAGGGTTTAGGTCGGGGACAGACTTTAAGGTTTAGGGACCTGCAAGCCAACTTGGAGCCGAGACTCACTCAATCCTGAACATCGTAGTTTATAGCCCTAAGCCCAACCCACACCTCCGCACTTGCATCATCAACCCAAAAGCCCAGACCGCAAACTAAATACACCAGACCTACCAGCATCATCTGACTGGCGCACGAAATTCAAGCAGTAGCATCGAATCATTGTCATCAAGACTCCCAAGCAGCTTGCCACTGACTTCAGAACCTCTCGTGGCCTCATGAACGCATGCGACAACCTGTAAAACCGGAAGCCTTCCTGCAAAGCCTACCTATAGTCTCCATTGTAGTTCCTTTTTTTGGTTTAACCAATTTTGTATTCAGGATCCGAGAAGGTAACCCCCAAAAGGAACTACAATGGAGACTATAGGTAAGCCCGAACACCCAACCGATGAAAGAATCCCCTGAAATCCCAAATGAATGTGATTCTAATCATTAATACCGCCTCGTCATAACCCTAAGGATCCAAGTATACAAATATAGTACCTACTTTAGGGTTTAGGGTTTAGGGTTTAGGGGTTTAGGGTTTAGGGGTTTAGGGGTTTTGAGTTTTGGGTCTAAAGTCTATAAATAGTACCCAGGTTGGGCTATTTGGAGTCTTAGGGTAAGCAGCCGACAGAAGACCGAAGCCTTTCCTATAGGGTCCATGTACCCATATAGAGGTACATGGGCCCCAAAGTACCTATACAGGGACTACATTAAGGTCAATGTACATATTATATGAGTACATGAACCCTTAGGGTTTTCAACAAAACGTAAAGGGCGTAAGGATCCCTTTTCCAGCTCCTCAGGCCCTTGTGTTGAATCCTCCACACCTTCACACCCTAAACCCTACCTTAGCCCTGAATGACCTACCTTTTTAGGGTTCCTTAGTAAGATTTCCTTATATAAGTCCATAAAAATGTGTGTTCTTCGGGGCTAAGGTAAAGTCTACCGACAGTCTCCATTTGTAGTTCCTTATAAGTCCATAAAAATGTGTGTGTTCTTCGGGGCTAAGGTAAAGTCTACCGACAGTCTCCATTGTAGTTCCTTTTTGGGGTTACCTTTTTAGGATGCTTACTATATAATTGGTTCAACCACGAAAAGGAACGACAATGGAGACCATAGGTATAACCCCCAAAACCCGCGCAGCTGCCTTCAGAGCTCTCGGAGGTCTTGCGTCTCGCCCGTGGCGCCGGTGGCTACGGGAGTGAGGCCCAGGGGAGGGGAGGGGAGGGGAGGGGAGGGGGTACTTGGAGGATCATGGGACTTAATATATGGTTATAAGTACACCAACTGGGGTTGCAAGTAATTATAAGTATAGCTACCATGATTGTAACCGTAGTTACGAAATCCCATGATCCTTAAAGTATCTGTATTCTTCAGATCACGAAGCACTGCGTGATGGGTGTTTGCCCTGATGCGCTGAGGCATGCTTAGACCGTTAGCCAAAGCCTCATACAAGCGTAGCTCCATGCTGACATATCAACGCAGTGCTTGAATGCTTTCGCATGAGTTGGTATTCCGACATTCCATTGAGATCATTGGGGTCCCAGTCAGGAGCATTATCGTTTTTGCTCGGGATCCGTATGTAATGCGAGAAGAGTCGAGCCTTTTGAAGGTTCTGGTCGGGAATGAACCATTACTTGCGTGTTCCCGCAGTTGCCAGTGGTTCTGCATCCTTTCTTCCTGAGCTTGACATCTACGATGTCTTCTACCGTGGCTTAGCTTTGATGTATCCACTCGCTGTTCAAGTAGAGGGATCCCTAAATCCTAAAACACTCAACCTCTAAACCCCTGCGGACCCTAAAACCCAAAGGCGACCCTATTTGATCCCAGAAAGTTTCACAAAGTTTGGCCGAGATGGCGGTCTCCTCGAGTTCCTGCCGTGGAGGCATGGCTGTGGGCTTGGCGCTGGGCGCCGTCATTGGCTGGACCTCAAGAGGTATGTTGGCAGTTCCGATGCGACCCGCTGGCCCCGTTGCGGCCTCAGGCTTGCAGACGGACAGTCGCGGTCCTGGCACCGTGACTCCGGAAGATGAAGAATATGAAGATAGGGCCCAAGCTGGAGAGCGTGTAGAGGTCCCTAATGGCACACAGCTACAGGGACTGAAAAGTGAGCCTACGCAGAGCAGAACTGCAACGGACGGTGCCGGGGCTTCCGAGGGCTCCTCCTCCACCTCCCTTGCAGCGCTTGGATGGAGCAGTCCACCTGCCAAGAGCCAGCCATTCCCCGCGAAGCGCTGCGATGCACAGGCAAAAAGTCTCTCAGGATATTTTGGGATTTGTGCAGAGGCCAGCTGGTCTTGGCTTACGAGTTACTTAGCTCCCGAGCAGCAGGGCCGGGCTGCCGTATTGGTTGATATCGGCTGCAACAAGGGCTACTCTTCGGCTCGCGTCTTCGAGCGGTGGCAGCCCAGTGCGTTGCTGAACCAGCAATCCTTGGGTCGAGCTCATCAGAAGTTGGGGACACCCAAATCTTGCGGCGTCTGCCAGGATTGCAAGCAAAAGCCCCTCAAGCTGCCAGCAGGGGTCCGGAGCACACGCACACCCCTTGTCCACTGCATTGATGGCTCCCCCAGAACTGTGAGTCGAACAAAGCAGGCAATGGAGCTAGCATCCCCGAAGTCTATGACGGGGATGCATTTTCACAATCTGGCCTTTACGAATTTCACGGGGACGGTTCAGTTTGGCGATTGCGATGCCATGGAGACCTGCAGCATGCACAAGGGAACTCCGGTGACAGTGAAGGCGATGAAGCTCGACGCTTTCGTAGCCCAGGAGGCACTGAAATTTATTGACATAGTGAAGATTGATGTGGAAGGTGCAGAGCCTTTAGTTCTCCAAGGGGCAATGGCCGCCTTGAAGTCCGAAAAAGTGGCCTTCGTGCACTTTGAGGCCAACACTGAGCCTAAGGATGCATGGAAAGATTTTGATATCACGTGGATGGTAACCACCTTGGATGATCTTGGCTACAGCTGCTTTATTGAAGCGGCCAAGCATCGAGGCAAATTCCTGGTTCGCTTAACTGGCTGCTTGCATTCAACCAAATTGCTGAAAACCGCTAAGCGATTCTCACAGTACAATGTCGTTTGTGCAAAGCGCGGAACTGTAGCTGAGGAGGCCCTACAGGACTGGGCACATCTGTAGTCCGGACCTGTTCCTTGAGGACGTGATGTGGGCTGGATCGACATCCCAAGCAGTTGGACTAGCTGTGCAATGGCATCGGTTATGCTGCTGCCAAGCATGGTCCACGTGGGTGATTTTCTTGATCACTTCAGGAAGGCCTTCGCAAGAGAACCCACGGACACATTTCGGAGAGTAGATCATTGCTTTCACAAATGCCGAAGGTGGGCATGACACAGTCGTGGAGGGCTGGCACTGCGCATGGCCGTTGCACATACCAGAGGTCTGCCTACGGCTGCTGCAAAACTCCGCACGTCGCTGTGGCGTTTCCTGCAGCATCTTACCTTTGGTTTGTAGGGAATGGAGGAATGGGGTACAATTAAAATTACTATTGCTACCATTCTTCCATTCCCTATACTAACCAAAGCTAAGGCGTGTCCGCTTCAAACCTCACATCCCGAAGCTTAAGAGTGCACCTCCAAGGCGTGATGCCGCAGACACTGACGGTATTCCTGCGCCGCCACCCTCAGTGAAGGCGGGACCGAAGCCGCACTGGTTTTTACTAAGGATCCATACAAGTACACAGTACACCATAAACCGTAAACTCAGCTTTCAAAGACAGCTTGGGATTCAGACTCTCTCGCTGCGCCTGTTCACTCATCTTCGGACAACTACGAATTATATACCCTGCTGGGGTTTAGTGTCGGTGGAAACGATGGGGAGTCAACCGCAAAGCCGTACTTAGAGGCCCAGGGAACTTAGTAAGTAGGTTAGAAGTAGGGTTATCATTGGGGTAACTCCATTTAGGGTACTTATAGCCCTAGTTATAAACTACTTACTAAGTCCTGGGCCTCTAAGTAGAGCTGCGGCAGCTCAAGTTCGGAAGCCGTGCAGGCAGGAGACGAGCAGCCGAGCCGGAGAAGCCTTCCTTTGAAGCCCTACCTATAGTCTCCATTGTAGTTCCTTTTTTGGTTTAACCCATTTTATATTAAGGATCCTAAGAGGTGACCCCAAATAGGAACTACAATGGAGACTATAGGTACCTATACTCTTCAAGGGTCCAAGTACCTAATCATCATATACTCTCCAAAATCCTAACCTCCATAACTACTATCGTAAAGCCGAGTACCTGAGTATTGGGTCCTTTGGACCCTTGGGGTATACTCGGAGGATCATGGGACTTCGTAAGTATGGTTCTAAGTACCCTAATTGCCCTAATTGTTATACTAGTATAGTTACCTCACTAATAACCCTAGTCAGTAAGTCCCATGATCCTTTAAGTAGTCTCCATTGTAGTTCCTTTTTGGGGTTGCCGTAAACTCTCAGGTATAAAATTGGTTAAACCACAAAAGGAACTACACTGGAGGCTACAGGTAGTCTTCAGCTACCCAAAGGGACCGGGCATCACTTGGGGCAGCGTGGGTAGTATGGTGCACGGTTGAGGGTTTTGGGTTTAGGGGTTTAGGGTTTAGGGTAGTGCGGTGCGTTGGGTGGGTGACTTGACGCAGCCAGTTTTCTTGCACGAGTCGCAGAGATGTCGGGTATGCCGAAGCGCTTCCATTCTACACACATGGGAGTTTCCGGAATGAAACCCTAAGACTAAGACCTGAATTTTAAGGACCCCAACGTAAGGTATCCCTGATTTTCCGAAGCTCTCAGCCCTAAGCCCTTTATATTGGAAACTCCCGACCCTCAACCCGAGCCTAAACCCAAATTTTCGGAAACTTTCAACCCTGAACTCCTTACTTTCAGAAACAACGCTAAACCCTAAACCCCTTACTTTCGGAAACTCCACACAGCTTATTTGCTCCGCAGGCCAGAAGTGATGCCCATGCGTCGGGGGCAACTTCGCGAAGGCCATTGCGTTCAATGGTACACTAGGTGTCTAGGTTGGGTACGGCCCCCACTCAGTAACAGTTGGACAGTATTCATAATATAGATATATAAGGCCCTTAATAGTAGCCCTATTATGGACTGTTACTGTCTGGGGGCCGTACCCAATAGGTACTTGGAGGCCCAGGGGACTTAGCAAGCAGGTTATTCAATGGTACAGTACTTGAAGGATCGTGGGGCTTAGTATTTCAGGAACCATAAAGGGTTCCTTACATGGTTCCCCAGAGGGATCTATAAGGGGTTATGGGGCTTAGTACTGGTTACAAGCGAGTTACACGCTTAACTGACTGAGCTTAGAAGTACTGCACCAAAGTGTGAGTTTAAGCTTCGTGCTATTCCAAGTGGCACCTCCCTAGACCCTAAACCCCAAACACTAAACCTGTGATAAAGTGCTAGTTTAGGTGCGTGTATAGAGTGTGTGCACCTTGAGAGCAGCCTTGCAGAGACGTGTCCCTCTACCGCAGAGGGCCCTTTTGAGTCAAGCCGGCGAAGGCAAAATGAGACCAGTCTCGCACTGGTAGCGGAGCTCTCGGACACCTGGTCCAGAGCTCGGTAGAGCCCCTGCGCCACTCCGTCGGCCCATCGCGGCCGAGCCTGCAGCCATGGCCTCCGGGAGCCTGGCTTACAGGCATCATGCAGATTTGGAGACAGATCTCACGAAGTTTGGTTTCTTAGTCTACGGAGGAACAGTCCGAGACTTCCACGAGTGGGAGTTCCGAGCAATGACTCGGTGGACCCAGACCAAGGACGACGAGAAGAAGGATCTCGCGTCCAAGTTCCTCGACTCCTTAAGGGGCGAGGCATACATTGCCGCGGAAGACTTGGGTGCAGAAGTCCTTGGCTCCAAGGACAATATACCCAAAGTCATAGAGAAGGTGAGGACCAACCTGTTCCCCTTGCAGGAGCAAGAGAGCAAGGAGCTTTACAGGCTAGGTACTCAAATAGGAGGCATGCTGAGCCGGCAAGCCGGTGAGCCAATGACCTCGTACCTGTCGAGAAGGAGCCGCTGGTGGAGGAAGATGAAGCAATTGGACAAGACAGTGTCCATCAGCGAAAGCATCCTGACTGATCTACTGCTGGACAATGCAGGGATCAATCGGCAGGAGAGAATAATGGTGATCACCGCAATGGCGGGATCAGTGAAGACCGAGGACTGTGAGAAGGCTTTGATAAAGATGCATTCGCGCATACACCTGCTAGAGAAGAAGAACCCCTCGCCTTTTGGGAAAGGCAAGGGGAAGCCTTACTCAGGGAAAGGCAAGAAAGGGAAAGCGCACAAGGGTGCGCAGTACTCCTACCTCAGTGCGGTAGAGGAGTTGTTCGACGCCACAGAGGACGACGGCGAAGACTACGCTTGCACAGCAGACGCGTATGCCGCCGACGCCGATCAAGAGAATGACTGGGTTTACCCAGGTGGCGACGACAGCTACGCCGACTGGGGCGAGGAGACAGCGTTGGTAGCGCAGACGGCCGACGCATCCCTAAGGGACGTCGAGCTGGATGTGCTCACGGCCTTCCTGGGAACCGAAGGGTTCAACTCGGAAGACCGAGAGTCGATCGCACTCCTGACGGAGGCGGCTCTATGCCGAGACCATGGCTTTTATGGCCAGGTCAAAGGCGAAAGGAAAAGGGAAGCCGACGTCAAAATCGGCTCACTCCTACCGTCCACGCCCGAGCAACCTCAGCGTGGAGGACCGGCGCAAGAAGTTACAAGAAATAAAGAGCAAAAGCACATGCAAAGTGTGCGGGCGCCGGGGGCATTGGGCCGGAGACAAGGAGTGTCCCGGAAAGCAAGCGACTTCGTCAGGAGGCGCATCGGCAGCGTTCGTCGCGCAGGTCGTGCGCACCGAGGAGAAAGGTACCCAGACGGACACCTGGGGCCGAAAAGCCTCGGACACCAGCGACGACTCCGACGAGCGGTTCGGCTACCTCAGTGTCGCGAACGACATGGGCCGCGTGGCCTACATGGGGTTCTTCGACGACGGCGACTTTGAGGAGTCGGACGAGGAGCTAGAGGCAGATAGTGCCCTAAGCTCTGCATGGAGCTATGTCGACTACCCAGAGGGGGGCGACATCAAGTTCAACTTCGGCATGCACAAAGGGCAGACCTATATGGACTGTCTTCGAGAACACCCAGACTACTACCACTGGGGCTTGTCAGAGAAGAACCCAAGCCCACAGCTTGAAGCTTACCTGAGGTGGGTGTTTAAGAACTTCGACGTGCCACCCGCTGGTGCGGGCAGACCCGTTCAGAGGGACCGCCCGGTTGCCGACAGGGACTGCGACCTTGATGTGGCACGGTCGCTTATCCTTTCAGGAAGGAAGACCAAGTCGAAGCTTAGCATGATGAAGCAGGCAGACGAACCTTGCAGAGGCGGCTGCCCTGAGCGTGCTATCTCCAGAGCGGGAAGCAACGCGCACGTGATGAAAACCACGTGCATGATCTGTGGACACAAGACAAGTGTGCCACGACCAAAGGTGACGCCGACGAAAGCGACGCATGAGTGCGCGCATGAACGCGTGGACTTTAGATACAGCACAAGAAGCGTTCATAAGGTTTACTGCCTTGACTGTGACACGATCGTGGAGGAGACTCCACAGAGAGTGCACAAGATGGGCAAGGAGCTAGCGTCACAAGTCAAGTCATCGTCCTTGAAGCAGCAGGACTTGACTAGGAGACAACTAGATGAGGTAGAGCTCACTAGGATGGAGGCCGGAGATGTCATCAAGAAGTTCGTCAAGTACTGGGACAAGCGTTTGTGTAGGGTTGACGCAGTAACCTCTACAGAGCTGTCTAGTGTGCTAGAGGACTTCATAGATGAGTGTAGAGAGGCACAGGGAGAGTCTGCTGCAGGAGTAGGTTTTCCCGGAGAGCCCCCTCACACCCCGCAGCGAGGACGCGCGAGCACCGACGCTGCTGGCTCAAGCGCGGCCCCGCCTAGGACGCCACCGAGGGCGGCCATGGGCGCTGCGTCTCCGGCGGCAGCTGCGCCGAGAAGGACTACGCAGCAGTGAGTGACGACCCCTCAGTGGGCGTTCACAGGAATTTTTTTGATCCCTCAGGGGACATACACATGGCACTGAGTGACCATGCCGAAGAGCAGGTCAGCGAGCCTACGCTCCCTCTGCTGGATCCCTTAGAGGACCACGACAACATCTGGGTGATGTTGGACGAGGGGTGCAACACCACTTGCCACGGACGCAAGTGGAGGCAGAACGCGGAGGCCACCCTCGCCAAACACGGCTTGAAGCTCCTGAAGGTGAGCAGCGAGGGAGGAGCCTTCCGTGGGATAGGCTCTAGCCGGTGCAGCGGAAAGTACAAGCTTCCGTTTGCGCTGGGACTGAGGCCACAAGGCACCCTGAACGGTGACCTGGAGTCCAGCGAGCTGGAGAACGACGAGGTTCTCTGCCTCCTTAGCTTGCAGGACCAGACGCAGCTCGGGCTGGTCAAGGACCTCAGAGCGGGCCGAGTGACGCTCAAGGACTACCCCGACGTCTGGTTGCCTGTGGCGAGGCACGTGAGGACCGGCCTCATACTGCTTAACATAAGCAGCTTCGGCAAGGACCCCAACAGGCACCACAGGGCTTTTGCCTTGAGGCCGAGGAGCCCGTGCAAGCTCCTGAAGGGAAAACCGACCCCTGGAAGGGGCGGGCAAGAGGAGTCGACCCATCAAGTGGGCGACCAGAGTGCCTATATGACTGGAGGCACGACGGAGGCAAGCAGCTGCAAGTGCAGGAAGGTGCACTTCTACACCTTCGGTCTGGAGAAGCTGGAGTTTTCGAAGAAGAGCTACAAGAGGAGCAAGGCGCTGACCGACCTCTTCCAGACCTTCAGCCAACGGGGTAAGAGCTACGACTTTACCCTGGACTCGGAGGAGCACGAGCAGAAGCTGCTGACCTCCCTCCGCGAGAACTTCCCCTTCGTCAAGGAGCTGGACACGAAGCAGATCCTGTTTGTGGACTGCCGGGCGACCGGAGATCCGGCGTCCAATAAATCGTTGAGGGACCATTTAGGGGTATACCCCCTTAACCTGCAACACATGACCACCAACCCGAAGTGGCTCGACTGGTGGAAGGAAGTGGTTCCCTCAGCGCACAGGCTCTTGACCGAGGTGGAAGAGGCCTACGTTTTTGTCTTCTGCAAGAGCGGAAGGCATCGCAGCGTGGCCAACGGCGACATGTTGTACAGGGCGATTTTCGACCTGTATGACGTCGAGGCCGTAGAGATCGATCACTTCTGTGACGGTCCAAACTGGCGTCACACTTGCGGTGGCCTGTGCCAGGACTGCAAGTGGGACAACCCAGAGACCAGTCCTCTGGCCGAAGAGGCTGTGAGGGTTTCCCAGCAGATCTGGAAGGATGTGATGCTGGAGAACGGTGTCACACTGCCAGGCGGCAACAGTGTGACCGTGAAGCCTGGTGGCATCACCGTGGACGAGGTGAAGCCGGAGCCCTCTAGTGGTTCCAGAGACAAGCCAGGTGACTCCTCAGGGAGCACAGACAGGCCAAAGGGTGACCCTTCTGAGGGCACCGACCAGAGCGTGGACGTCGACAAGAAGAAGGCCCAGCACTTCAAGTGCTGGGACCTCCGCAGCAGCATGGTGGACATGTCCGACGACCAGCTCAAAAAGACAGCCTTCCTGTTTCTCAGCAGGATTTACTCCGTGTTTGACCCTCCTAAGCAGGAGAAGGTCACGGAGCTCATCGCGAAGTATGAGCTCGACCTGCGGACACTGGTGGGAGCGGTGTCAGCCAAGTACTTGGACTTGGCGCAGGCCCAGTCGCTGTTTGAGTCCCTGCGAGACAGCGTGCTGGGAGGAAAGCGCACGGAGCTCGGCTGGAAGGCCGACTTGGAAGAGGCCAACCGGTCCTTGGACCAGGCTCTGGCCTACATGGAGGCCGACGACAAGGACGACAAGGCCGAGAAGGAGAGGCTGAAGGAGGCTCTTGACGAGAGCCGAAAGAAGAAAAGCGAGTCCGAAAGGGACCGCACCAGGACTCCGACTAGGGAGCCTGCGCCGACGGACAAAGGCAAAGGAGTCGGCGACAAGGGAAAGGCGACAGGGAAAGGAAAAGGAGCCCAGAAGGGCAAGAAAGGAAAGGCAGAACACGAGCAGGAGGACCACCCCGAGGCCAGGCAGGACCTCTTGGACCTGAACGAGGACGTCTCGAAGCCGCACCACCTGACGGACCGCTTCTTGCACTTGGTGGTGGACGGCCACAAGAGCTTCCAGGGTGGAGGCAAGGGGTGCGCCTTTAAGGCGTGGCTCCAGAACAGGCGCGGCCCCACCATCGCCGTCAGGGTCTCGTTCCGCAGGTACCCAAGGAACAGCTGGGACAAGCACCCGGCAGCCCTGGCAAGGTACACCAAGTACACCTGCGCTTGGTGGCCGAATAGTGGTTTGTGGAGGTGTGTGGAAGAAGGCGTCGCGGCCGACAAGTGGACCTTCTTCGACGATCCCCCAGAGAGGATGCTCGTCTTCCTTGTGCCCCCGCGCCAGAACACGGCGTACTTCGTGGGCGGCCTCCCGGACCTGTCGGGTTCCAAGCTGAAGGTCATGCCGACCAGCTTGGCGAAGTCCTTCGAGGATTCCTCAAAGAATCTCGGGACTCACGACGAGATGCTGTTCAGAGCACTCGGTCTGCAGAGCACAGGTGACCACAGCGACCTGAAGATCTACGTGCTCGCGAACAGCAGCTTTCAGCCCGGATCCCTTGAGAGGACCGGAGCCACAGTGATGGTACGCCATCCTGGGCACAAGATCATCCTTTTAGAGGACATCGGATGGACAAAGCAAATCTCTAAGGAGATTGCTAAGGTACAGCCGGACCTCCTCCTTCTGGTGTACGAAGGGCTGGAGGACTGTACAGAGCTCTCACCCGCAGCCCAGAGCTTCTTGGACGGCTTCGCCGCCTGCGCTGCAAAAGAAGTGCTTGTGCTTGACAGCGTGAGCAGTGTGAGGTGGAAGTACTTAGAGGCGAGTAGCTGCTTAGAAGAAGGTGAGAGAGAGGTTCAGGTCTACTTTGGTAGAGGTGACCTAGGTATAGGCACTACCTCGCAGGCGCTAGGAGAAGTTTTAGTAGACTGGGCCGACAACGACCACAGTGTCTACTACTCACCAGTTAGCGTGGACACGGTAGGTGACCACGAGGGTTTCGCTGAGTGTGTGGTAGCAGCCTTGCTTGAAGTTTGTGTTGAAGAAAACGTAGCAAGTGCTTTTCCTGTGGAAGCTAGGCAGGAGGAAGTCGAAGAAGCAGGTACTATGGACGCGGTCGTAGATCAGCGTGACAATAGGACCAGCTTCATGGACGAAGAAGAGGCCGCAGCAGAGGCCGACTTCCTTGACACACTCCCACTTGCGGGTTTTCCTAAAGAGGAAAGCGAGAGGCGCAGGGAGTGGGCAAAGGTACCACGGCGAGTAAGGCTGGGTATCAGAAGGCTTCACAACATGATGAGTCATAAGCCTAAAGAGGTTATGATTCAGGTGTTGAGGGGAGCCGGAGCTTCAGAGGAGCTCATAAACGCAGCGAAGGTATTCAGGTGTGAAACCTGCCGCGTGAGTGACGAATCAGTTCGCACTCATCCCGTCAACGCACCACCGCCCTACGAGTTCAACCACACGGTTTCCGTGGACGTCTTTGAGACGTCAGACAGCGTTGGTGAGAAGTACAGCTGGCTCAACATCGTGGACAATGGAACTTGTTACCAAGTGGTAGCACTTGTCCGTGTTGGGGGAGGACAACCCAGTAGCGCTAAGTGCCTTCAGAAGTTCATGAAGTACTGGGCTTCCCCGTTCGGCTGGCCAAAAGTAATCACCCATGATAGGGGATTACACAACCGAGGGGCATTCGCCTATGGACTTGCTGCCCATGGCGTATTGATACGTCAGGCCGGGCTAGAAAGTCCAGAACACATCGGAAGATGTGAAAGGCACGGGGGGATCCTTAAGAGGGCCTTCCGCAGGATTGTCCGACAGCACAACCTGGCGGGAAAGACGGAAGTGAAAGAGGCTATGCTTGAAGGGCAAGTCTCTAAGAACGAGTTCCTAAGGGTAGGCGGCTTTGCGCCTGTCCAGTGGGTCCTAGGCAGACTGCCTAGGGGAGTTGGCCACGTTTTGGACGAAGACGAGTTAGGCCAACTCGGCGTACTCTCAGCTCGGATGGATCCGACGACAGCTTTCGGTAGAAGGGCGGAGTTCCGCCATACCGCCCGGAAAGCATTCGTCAAGCAGGATTGTTCGAGGAGGGTGCGGTCCGCCATTCTTCGGAAGGCGGCACCACTCCCGGGCAGATATCAAGCTGGGGATTTGGTATGCTACCGAATCTCCCGGGAGGAGCACCATGGCGTTCCCTCCTGGTCTGCGGTCGCGAAAGTTATAGGCGTCGACGGCAAAACGGTGTGGGTGGTACACCAGGGCGTGCCTGTAGCGACCAGCCTTGGGAGGCTCAGACCGTGTACGGCGGCTGAGGTTTTAGCGTACCAGGTTTTAAACCGTGGTAACATACGCTTCGAGCATGCAGATGCCGAGCGTGAGCAGAGAAGGTACGTTGATGCCACAGAAGACATCCCGACGGGTGATCTTGAGGCAGGCGATACCGCAGGAGAGCCGAGTATAACGATACCGGCGGCGACTCTACCTGCGACAGAGCGTGCAGTCAGGAGAAGGGTAGGTCCACGTGAAGAGTCACGGGCCGTGACCCTAGACACTGTTGAGGAGCCTGAGGTCGAGGAGACCGAAGCTCCCGACGCAGAGCTGGTCCCTGCAGTGGACCAGGAAGCGCAGGAATCGATAGCTGAGGCTACGATGGAGTCAAGCATAGACACGGGAGGCTCTGACACTTCTCTTCACGCGAGCATACGTGCTTACGCGAGCCACTTTTGGAGTTACAAGGAAGCAGCTATTTGGGATAGCCTGCCAGGAGAGAAGGAGTATGAGGAGCTACGTGTTTTCCTTGCAGATAGATGGGACCAGCCCACTATCAACACGTGGAAGAAAAGGCGCAAGAACTACACTGGCAAGAAGCAGAAAGAGAAGAACGGAAAGCTTCTGGTTTACGCCAAGTGTTCTCCTGAGGTTCAAGCAGAGCTTGACAAGACAAGGGAGAAAGAGTGGAACAAGTGGAAGGAGTTTAGCGCCGCAGTCGTAATCGACAAGAACCAGTTGGAAGAGCTTATACGTGAAGGACATCAGATTATTCCAACGCAATGGGTCGAGGTCGACAAGCACCACGCGCAGCGTTTGGCGGACCCCACAGTGGAGGCCAAGTACAAGTCTCGACTTGTAGTGCGTGGGGATCTCGAGCAAGGAGACCCAAGGTCAGACAGCCCTACGGCTAGCATAGAGGCGCAGAACCTCGTGTTCTCGTTCGCTGCCTCGAGACGTCTCAAAGTGAAGACGCTGGACGTCACTAACGCCTACTTTCAAGGCGAGGCGATAGACAGGGTACTCCTGCTATCACAGCCTAAGGGCGGATTACCAGGGCTAAAGCCCGGTGATCACATGTTAGCTAGAGCCCCAATTTATGGGTCAACGGATGGCGGGCGGAGATTCTGGAAACGTTTGAGAACGTTCCTGAAGAACAAAGGTCTTCGGGAGAACAGGATCATGCGCGCTTTGTACAGCTACACGGACGAGAAGGGAGTTGTACAGATGCTCCTTACGTCCCACGTAGACGACCTATTGTGGGCGTGTGACCAGTCTTGCGACTGGATCATAAAGGAGATCATCGACGAGTTCAAATGCGGAACCGTCGAAAGCGACAGCTTTAGGTATTGTGGTAAAGAGGTGAAGCAAGATGAAGACTACAACATCCACATTACCTGCGGTGACACTACGAGGACGATCAAGAAGATTCCGATAGCACCGCGCCGTCGCCCCGGAGATCCCTTAACGGACTCCGACAGGACGCAGATGAAGTCTGTGGCAGGCTCACTTGCTTGGGTGTGCCGACAGTGTCGGCCAGACCTCTCGTATAGGGTTTCGCGTATCCAGTCAGCTTCAAACAGTGGAACTGTTGCTGACATCAAGGAGGCGAACAAGACCGTGGAGTATGCGGTCAAGACCTATGAGAGGGGTATTACTTTCAGATCTGGGTTACTGGACTGGAGTAAGCCCGGCGGTCTAATGAGTTTAGTGATCACAGACGCCTCGCACGCCAACGAGGAGGAAGAGCTCTTGGTGAATGGCTCAGTGTCTGTGGAGCACCACAGGAGCCAAGGTGCGAGGATGATCTTCGTTGCCACACCATCCCTTTGGGACCAAGACAAGGGAAGCGTGCATCCAATAGCTTGGGCTTCGAACATAGTTCGGAGGGTGTGCAGAAGCACCATCCAGGCGGAGGCCTACACCTTACAGGCAGGTGTGGAAGACGGAGACGTGATTCGCGCAGCAGTGGCTGACCTGTTTGGGGTACTGGACCTCAAGAGATGGGAAGCTTCAGCCGCGAAGTTCATGAAGCAGATCTGGTTTACAGACTGCAAATCTCTGGAGGAGACACTGATGAATCCGAAGTGTTCCAAACACTCGGACAAACGTCTCTCTATAGAGATAGCGTCCTTGAGACAGGACCTCTGGAGGAAGAAAGGTGAAAAGGCTGGCGATCCGTACGAAGAAGACTACCGTCCGAGCGACGAGTCCCTCACAGACACGGTACGTTGGATAGATACGGACGTAATGGTGGCCGATCCACTCACTAAGGTGATGGAGCCAACCAAACTGGTTCACGTCATGGAGACGAATGAGCTGGACGTTAAGCAGCCAATAGATAGCATCGTGAAGAAACGAGCTAAGCAACTCCAGAGAAGGAAAGGGAATCCAGCTGAAGCGGATCCTAAAGAGGACGGCTGAGTACCGATCCTTACGTCTCACTCTTTTGTCACACTCTAACACCAGAAGAGTCACGGGTGTGATAAAGTGCTAGTTTAGGTGCGTGTATAGAGTGTGTGCACCTTGAGAGCAGCCTTGCAGAGACGTGTCCCTCTACCGCAGAGGGCCCTTTTGAGTCAAGCCGGCGAAGGCAAAATGAGACCAGTCTCGCAAAACCCTAAACATTTACCGTTCCGACAATCTTTCGGACTCATGATTTGTTTGGGGGGTCGCTTCGGTTTGGAGCCCCCGTATAGAACTCTTACGGAGCCCTTCGCGGAGAACTCTTATGGAGCCCGTAGCGGAACCTTCCTTGAGCCCTTTTAGAGCCGTGTTCCCATGAAGGAGGTGCATGCGCAAGATGTTTGCTTACGGACATGTAACTGAGTTACTACACTTCCGAATTACTATATAGTAACTCTTAATGTAACAAGCTGCAAGAGGGTTGTTCAAGACATCTCCTCGCCGCAAGCCTTGACCAAACAAAGCACTTCCGGTCAGGCCGGCACCGGCTGAATATCGGAGAAAGACTCCTGCTGGTGGTCGAAGAAATGCGGGTCTTGCCGGTCGCTGTTGATTCGTAAACCCTTAAACGTTATATTACCTAGAGGCTCCAGAGTAGCTCCTCTTTGGGGTTCATAGTCAGAATCCTAAAAGGTAATCCCAAAAAGGAACTACTATGGAGCCTATGGGTAAACCCCCAAAAATCCCTAAACCCTAAACCTACACCCTAAACCCTAAACCCCAAAAATCCCTAAACAACGAAACCCTAAACCCTAAACCCTAAACTCTAAACCCTAAACCCTAAGCCTGACCCCCAGACCGTAGTCTCCCTGCAGTCGTTTCTGTGAGCACCTTACAGGAACCCTTTGATCTCCCGAAGCCTCAAAAAAATCCCTAAACCCCTAAACCCCTTACAAACCCTAAACCCCTGAACCCTTAAACTCTACGGGACCTACCTATGGTCTCCATTGTAGTTCCTTTTTGGGGTTCCCTTTTAGGATCCTATATATATATATGTATATATATATATATATATATACATTATGGTGGTTAAACCAAAAAGTCCCCAAGGCTCCAAGCATACAAACAGTACCTACTTTGGGGTCTAAAGTCTATAAATAGTACCTACTTGGGGCTATTTGGAGTCTTAGGGAGTCAGAATCATGATAGAATGCCTACGGCTACGGCTTGTACTAGGTACCGATTTGGGATAGTTGTTAATTTGACTTCCTGTTTAATATAGAGCCTTAGGGGGACTGTTGAAATCGACACCTAGTGTACGATTATTGATACTGTTTCCATTTATCTTAGTGTGATTATATGTACCGATCTCAGTGTCAATATTGAGCGTTGTCCTAATGGCCATACCAGAAGAGTCGTATCCTGATTGCCAGGTCGAAGACCGTGCATAGCCCGATAGCTTCATATGCACCTATAGAAATGCAGAGGGTTCCGGGATGTTTCCACATTGATATACAAGACGTTCATAAAAAAAAGAGCTTCAATCAAGACCTAGGCCCAATCAGCGCAGAACCCCAACCATCCCACTTGTTACGCCCAACATGCCTTAAACCCTACCTAAGGTAGCCTATAAACCCTAGACCCTAAACTTTCATTGTCACGGTGCTCACACGTTCAGTGTCTTGGCGTCTACATTGTTTAAGGGGTTTGGGGTTTATAGTTATCAGTTGATGACTTTAGGGATTAGGCTTGCGAGTTTAGAGGCCAGGTTTTGTGAAAGAAGAGTCTTGAATTGTGTGGCCAGCTTTCCCGAACGAGCTAACGCACAGGTTCCAACTTTCCCTTCGCGACCGATATCGTGCGCAAGCTCAACGAGGCCGCAGTGTATTGGACAGTTTAGGACCCTAAGTCAAGGTCTGATAAATCTGATAAAGTAAAAGCCAGAAAGTTGGAATATGATTATCCTAAACCCTTTATGTTAAATTATAAGGTATCCTAGCCTGAAACCATATTCCAACTTTCTGGAGTTCCCTTTAAGTTGTGGATTCGGGCCTGCAAGTTCTCAGGCCTCGAGCCTATCTCAAATTGTACCTACCTATAGTCTCCATTGTAGTTCCTTTTTGGGGTTACCTTTTAGGATCCTTAATATATAATTGGTTAAACCAAAAAAAGGAACTACATTGGAGACTCTAGGTACACTCTAACTCGCAAATTTTCCTCGCAGTATGTCAGACTGCAGCACCGAAGGATACATGACAGCTCCGAAGGCTGAATGATCACAGCAGGATCTGACGATTTTGATTTCAAAAGTTCCGGAGTACCAAGCCTGGTAAAGTTACCGCAAGATGTAGGTTGGGGTTGCCGAGGCGCCTCTTCGGCTGCTGGAAGAAGATGAGGTGCCGACCTCAATTTTCTCGGGGTTTAGGGCCTACGTGGAGGTTCATGGTTAGTTATAAGTAGGGTTATAAGTAGGATAACTGTAGTTATAGCCCATATTCAGGGGCTTATAGCCCCACTTATAACTACCCATGAACCTCCACCGGGCCAGCCGCCTCATGACTCGTCGCTAGCATCGTTGCTTCCAGCGTTCCACCTTCGGAGGATGCAAACTCTAAACCCCCAACCCCAAAACCCTGAAGCCCTGAACCCTAAACCTCTAAGCCTTAAACCCTAAACTTGCCATAAACCATCCGAAACCCTAAACCCCCAAAAAATCCCTGAACCCTAAGAAAATGTAAGCTTGTGGCTATCGAGGCGCCGACTGATGTGAAGCCTCCGCCTGACCTGAAGGACATGTGAGCGATGTCGGTTTAGGGGCTAGGGTTTAGGGGTTTTGGGTTTAGGGGTTTTGGGTTTAGGGTTTTTTGGGTTTAGGGGTTTTAGGGTTTAGGGGTTTTAGGGTTTAGGGGTTTTAGGGTTTAGGGGTTTTAGGGTTTAGGGGTTTTAGGGTTTAGGGGTTTTAGGGTTTAGGGGTTTTTGTGGTTTCATGAGTGCAGGGCTCTTCTCGTTCGCATCATGTACACCCCGCTGCTGTTGCGGCACGAACGAGGGGCCCCTTTTGTGAGCCTGTTAGCTACGCAGTTATGGTTGCTGAAAAGCGTGTGCCGTCTGCAGAGCTGTAAGACGTTGAGCGGCTGTGTGCCTAGAGATACCACCTGCAACCACAGGTGGTAGCGGAGCACGAAGATCTAGGGATCTGCTCCTTGGTGGCGCTTCTTGAGGCGCTTTGGTGATGCCGCCTAAGCAGGCATCGGCCCCTCCGGCGGCGAGCGATGGAGGCGGAGGCAATGGCGGTGGGTCTGGTTTCTACAGGGATCGTGAACCTCCTCCAGCGTTCGATGGCAAGGATCCTGATAGATCTTTTCCTCGATGGTTGAAGGATTTGAAGCTTTGGGAGTACGAGACGGAGATCCCTAAAGAGAAGTGGGGTGTTAAGTTGCTACGACAGTTGTCCGGGACGGCCAGAGCAGCGGCGGACAACCTCACCTTCGAAGAGATAGCATGCGAAAAGGGAATGGAAAACCTTCTGAAAGCCTTGAAGGATCATTTCGCCCCTCACCTGGAGTCTTCGCTTCCCCAGGCGTTCGAGAGCGCCATCTATGGAGAATCAAGGGCGAGCCGGGAGACGTTCGCGGACTATGTCATCCGGATGGAGTACAACTTCAAGGAGCTAGAAAGGCAGGGTGTTAAGCTGCATGACATTGCGATTGGGTACGTGATGTATCGACAAGCAAGTTTGAATGACACCCAAGAGAGTCAGCTGCTTACTTGGGGACAAGGCAAATACGACCGGGCCACCATGGTGCAGAATCTGCGTCGGTTGGACAAGGGGTCGTTTGACCTCAAGAAGAAAGGGCATGGCCACTACCTCGCCGAGGCAGATGAGCAGGAGTACGAGATGCCGGAGAGCACCGAGGTCTACGTCGGCGAGGACCTCGAGGACTACGAGTCGGACCTCGATGATGAGGACTATGTCTACCTCGGGGAGAATGACCTCAAGGAAGTGTTTGAAGAGGACCAGGTTCTCGAGGCGTTGGCGACCTATCAAGATGTGCGGAGATCGTTACGAGAGCAGCGCAACAACCGAGGCTACTACCCGAATGGTGGCAAGGGTTCGCAGAGTTCTTCATCGAATGCCAAGGGCTTTGGAGGCAAGGGCAAAGGAAAGGGAGGTGGCAAGCGGCCAACGCTCGCCGTGAAAGGACGTGATTCAGTCAAGTTCACGAAGCATGGAACACGCGTCCACGTCGACATGTTGAAGTTGAGGACCCGATGTGCCCGCTGCGGAACGGTGGGTCACTGGGCCCGCGAGTGCAAGAACCCGCCAGATGAGAGAGGACGCCAGGCGGCTGCAGCGAGGGCCGCTTCTACGTCAAGCCAGCCTTCGGTGCCGTCTTCGCCTTCGGTGAGATCGGGTTTCTTTGTACAGACCACTGACGATCGCGGCGGTGCGACCCAGAACTTCTTTGGCAAAAAGTCCGAATCCGAAGCAGTGTCCTCTTTGCCTACTTTTGGAAGCGTCGTGAAAGCCTTGTTCCGGAGCCACCCCAAGGAATCATCACCTCTACCACATGTAGTTTCCGATGAGTCCGAATCCCTTGAGTCCTTTGTTGGCATCTGTACCCGACCCAACGAAGGTGTGGTCGACACGGCAGCTCAAGATGGACTCATCGGACGAGCCTCTCTACTTCAGCTTGCTCAGGCTCTCAGAGAGAAAGGCCTTCAGTTCAGTTGGAACACGTCAAAGAGGGCGCAAGCGAGTGGAGTGGGCGGTCGTGCGCAAGTGATAGGTGTGGCAGAGGTGCCGATTGGGATAGCCGGAATCAACGGTTTGTTGGAGCTGACAGTGGTCACTGACAACGTACCACTTTTACTTCCAATCAAGATGCTTCGTCAGCTAAGGGCAGTGGTGGATTTGGACAGCAACGTCCTCTCGCTCAAGGCCTATGGGGTTGAAACTCCTATGTCAGAGCTTCCATCAGGTCACACGTCAGTGGATGTTTTGTCGTTTGCTCCAG